TCTCTTACTATGCATCTAACTTACACAGAAGAGCATACCAATGAGAGGAGACCCGTTTGTTTTCAGGTCACCTCGGGCACTGCAGGCCAGAGTCCCCTCTCTCACGGATGCAACTCCATCGGGCCAATTCGAGCTGCTGGTTACTGAAATACAATCCAAAATAGTGGCATGACTTAAAAGGGCATTACTCTGGATATGCATCAGTGTACATAGTGCATTTGGCATTAGAGGGGCATTGGGAAGAGGAGGAGAATTGTTATAGTATTGTCCATATAGATATCTATCTACTCAAGTCTGAGCTCTGCTAAGACGGGTATCTTAGGCAGTCAGGAGAAATAGAATTTCAAGCAGATAGAGGCATCTTGGCATACGTTAAATATCCATCGGAATGAATAAAGAGCCAGACACTCCCTCAGTAATAAAGACCCACCCCTGGAGATGTCTACATGCTTCTCATTGAAATGAATAGAACAGCTTTGTGTTTTTTCAGGGCAAGGTAGAATTCACCTCCTGGGGCAGTTAAGCTGTGTACTGTCCCCGCTGAAATCACAGGAGAACTACAAGACTACAGAGAATGCCAGCAGCTATACATTGGGTGTATCTACACGTGCTCATTTACTGCACAGTAACCGAAATTACTGTGCAGTATGGGCACGCATCTACGCGTGCACACCTGTACTATGCAGTATATATGACAACTTACACTGACCATCATTCAGGTATCAAATTTACACTCAATTAGTTACTGCACAGTAATACACATGTAGATGCCTCACTGTGCATTAACACTGTTTGTGGACTAACATTAGTCCAAGTCAGCCTCCACACAGTGTTAATACACTTTAACACCTGCATGTGTAGATGCTGGCCTATTCCTGCTTACTAAGCAGTAATTTACTGCACAGTAAATTTAAGTTGGCGTAAATGCACGTGTAGACATGTCCATTCAGCGTCTAGTGAGTGAAATTGTTTTCAGTTAGACATGCTGGACTGAATTCTAACATACTTTTGAAGCTAGACCATGGAAGGAATAGGGCCAGTGAGTATATAATCAAATGTTTTATTTACAGAGCAGCTCAAGAAGCAGTTTGTAGATCCAGATTTTGAACAAGCCAAAATTGTGGGTTTCTGTTCACTTCTTTATAAACTCATAGAAAAGTATGAGTGGAAGGGACCTCAGGAGGTCATCTAGTGCAACCCTCTTATTACTTGCAGTATTCAAATTGGACATTACTTTTGCCTATGTGCACTCCCATTCACTTCAACTTTTCATGTGTGTATGAGAGTCTTACTGGGGCTTCTTTTGGGAAGGTTTGTATATAAAATGCACATTATAAGCATGGACTGTAATCATTTCTCTTGCTAAGTCTCAGATAAAATGGAGCTTGACTCACAGTCAGTACTTGGAGTGGGTTCGATTTTGCAGTACCAGAGTTCATCCCCATTTCCTTGCCTGATTCTCTAGTGTTAATTACTAGAAAGAGAGGCTTACAAGCTAGCTCTGTAGCCATTACTGCAGGAGAAGACCCAATGACTGCAAAGTAAGTCTGTTAGGGTAAGAGAGTAGGCTCAAGCTTTTAAAGATTCATCCAGCAGACGTTGATACTGGACTTGATTTGAACTTGTGTCCACCAGGCTGGGCTTGGGACAACTCCACGTTAAACTTCTGACTGGCAATTGGTGGAATGTAATGGCTCCAAAAGTTTCTACATCACAGTTGTCCAGCTGCTGCTACCAGGTCTGGATGTTACATGCCAAAGTGTGTATGACAAGCTAATGCTCTTTCCCTGCAAGCTGCAATGCACAGCAGAATCTCTGCTCTGCAGCCTCTTTCCCTTCAGTGAGTAAGCACATAGGTCCATCTGTGTGAAGCAGCTGGTAGATCTAGGCTTAACGTCACCCTTCTAACACTACTAATGAGCCCGTGTTACTTCTTGATCTCCAGGAAACAGGGTGAAAATACAAAGCCAAATTTGTATTATGAAAATGGACAAAGGATACCTTTGGGTGCCTAGGTGCTGTGGTGATGACCAGCCTAATACTATGGCACTGGCAGTTACAGTAAAAGAGAAAGGAGGGAGGGGAGGGATTGTATTTTATTGTGCTGATAAAATAAAATGAATCAAAAACACCCTCAGAACTTCTTTTCCCTTCTGTCCCCAACCCCTTGCCTGCCATGTGGTTAGTTCATTTCCAGCCTGCCCAGAATCTTTTAATTGAGCTGTACAAAAATCAGGATTATTCTAGAGACCTTGGAGTGATTCTGCTAGTCTAGGCGCTCTCTGTCATTGCCCAGTGTTTCTCTAGCATTGGTTGCAATAGTCTCCCCACAACAGGATGACACTTCTCTCCTGTATACCATTCTGACCCAAGTTCTCCAACAGGGTAAAATGTCTGCAAATGAAAGTGAAATTTAGACTGAAGAGTCGAGCATTCCATTGTGTGCTAGGAAGATACTTGGTACGGTTGCCCTGATCTGATAGCATAGACCTATGAATCCCAAATTGAGCAGCCTACCTGAAGGCATGGTAATCAGCACTCTGCTCACAGAGGCTGGTCTATGGGTAAAGGTCATGGGAACCATGGAGATACTTGAAGGGATTGTTAAATTGGCAGTCTGTAAAAGGTGTTCTTCCTGCTAAGCTCTGTTGCACAGTGAGTCAGGACTTGATCCAAAAAGAAAATCAGTGTGTACCTGAAGTGTCACTGACTCTAGCAGGACGTAAGCATGTATTTAAAGTTAAAACTACTGTATGTGCAAATTCTTTACTGAACTGAAGCCTGATTTCTGGAACTTGAGCTGTAACTAATTTCTCCTGCTTTAGAAAGTGTGGATATAGCAGGGAGGCTCCACAAGAAACCAGGTAGCCTCTGCTGCAGATGCTTGTTCCCTTCCACTCCAAAAAGTCTCTTAAAAAAGCTTTGTCGTTCAATGTCCTCCTACTTCCTTCTTAAGGCACAGTCACCCCACGATAGTAAAATAGATTCCTTCAGCAGTTTGAACACTGGACGATTCAAGGTACAGATTTCTTGGAGGCAACTTTTATGCAGCTGGTTTGTTTAACCCTCTCCCCTCCTATGCTCACTGTCCACCAAGCCCCAGCTACTTCCCTGAGTGACCAGAAAACATGTTCATTATTTTGTATCCTTTCTTGCCAGGGGAAGCCTGCTGCAGTTTCTGGGAAGAGCAGCGCACCAAAGTGGTGTGTTTCCCCATGAACAGGGAGAAGAGATATTCTGAGGAGGGGAACCTCCACATGAGAAGGAACATGGACTCATCTCCTCCACTTCCTGACTCCGCTTAGTGAGAGCTAACTGGCTATGTTGTTCACATTCAGGCTGAGACCCAAATGGACGCTAGCAGAGGTGGTGTTGCAACAAAGTCCGGCCAGCCCATGCCGCTTCCAACGGAACGTTGTAGTCTTTGCATACAGCCTTGCAACTTTGATCTGTGTTCCCAATGGTGGCACCCCCTCCCCAAGCCCACGCAGCAGGGCTTCAGTGACCCGCTTAACTAAACAAGGGGGAGAGAGGTGTAAAGGAATTCAAGCGACAGGTCTGTGTTTTGGTGGGTGGTTCTTGCCCTATGCTCAAGCCCTAAAACTAAGCACTTATGATCGGAGTGAGGAAAACATTTTACTTTTCAGGAAGACAAATGCTGAGATTTAGCCATTTGAGTCTCCCCAGTTTGTAAGAATTAAGAATTACACTCCTAGTGGTGGTATTAGCCAGGCTTTCACTCCAGCCATAACAAATATTTCATCTTAATTTCCCCAATAATTAGCAGACTTTTTCCAAAAAAGAAAATCCATCTCAAATCCTTCTTCAAAATACTCTGCAGACATGGCAGCCCATTTCCAAGTTCGCTCCCACCGACTTCTTCTCATTTCCATGTTTGCACAAAATAATAATAATAATAATTTTAAGTGTTTTTTTCCAGACGGGGAAACAGTAAAATGATTTTAGGCAACCAGTTTCAACTCTTCTCCCCTGCCTCATAGACCCTTAGGTATAAAAGCCTCCTACCTGCCATGTGCAGAGACCTATGAGTCTTGTGCCAGTGATCTGATGATAAACAGAAATTGACTGGAGTATTGTATGAAACAATTCAGCATCTGCTGTCTTCAAGTGACTCCTGCTTTTTGTATGTCACATTTTTGTTTGTAGGGATCTAAAATGCTATTGATTCAGTGCAGTTAATATGTTTTTTTTTTAATGTGGAATAGCTTAGGGCATGTTATCAGCCACATTGGAAGGTAAAGCTGATTTATTTTACTGTTGGTACAAGAAAACAAATCTAGTATCTGTGATTAAAAATATTAATCTTACATGGGTTTTATTAACGAATACTTTCACAGGTGCCATTTGGTTCCACAGAATATTTGCCAGACTAAATATTCATGACAGAATACAACAAAAGGAAAGAAAGTAGCTCAAAAACTAAAGCAGTCAAAATGAAAATGGAGTTAAGAATCATAATGGATTGATCATTTTTTTTTAAAAGAAAGGGGAGGAGATAGCTAACTAAAAATGAAAGGCAAAGTCCTCTGACAGATGAAAATGATATTGCACACTGACTAAAAATATATCCCTGTATACATTTAAAAAAACATGACTACAATGGCTGAGACTGAAGACTTTAAGAGACATCTCAATTTGTGCCAGCAGCAAACTGTGTAATATCCTTTAAAAATGAATCCCAAACTTTGAATTAATTACCAGTCAAAACAGCAGAAATTGCATTTGGAATCA